AGGTTGAAATTTAGTTGTGGGGTAGTAGCTCTGCACGAGTCTTGAACAAACACGCAGGCCTGAGAATATTTGGAAGCAGTGCCATAATAATGGAGTTACAAACATTTGATGCTCCAAAAGCAGCCCTTGCTCCTTTCGCTCTGTTGATCAGCTCATCCCTTCTCCTGGCCTAGTGCTCCTGCTCGCACGGTGAGCCTATGTAACTTCCAGCTGGCAAACAGGTTCTTTTTTTTTTACTGTGTGGACAAGAGTAGATGCAAATGTTGACATCGTGGTCAACACCGGAGATGACCGAAGGCCTTGGCAAGGGGAAAAAATTGTTTCTTGGAATCAGTGCCGCACCCACAGCTCGTAGCACTGCCACGTTGGGAATCATTCATCGTGACGGCATTCAGAACTCAATGTGCACGTTTACCTGAAATGTTAAAAAACTTGTCCCAGGTGGTTTAGGAGTCCGTTTAAGGCATGTAATGATTCCCATTATTTTACCACAGTCAAAAATATTTCTACGTACCAGTGGCATAGCGATCAACAACCCTGGTCTCTGCATTGTTGTGTAGGCCTATCTGAAAAACTTTTGTGAAGGTACGAGGGACCTTACCGTGTACTGCGGCAGGTAATGCCTGTTACTTATCAGTAGAGATTGGATTATAGGCAAATGCCTGTTCTGTTCCTTGCATTCCTATCACACCATTTTGATAAATGAGCACAAATTAGAGGTTGAGAAGGGCTTTTATTGTGCCTATATATGACTGATTTTGATGTGTATGCCTAAATTTCAGTAAGTGCCTATAAATGCCTATTTTCAAAATTGGTGCTCCTGTGAACACTATTTAACCTCAAATTGGTATTCATGCTACTGCTCAAAATTGGCCTTTCGGAACTCTATGAGCTGCAACCTATACTCCATCTCGGAAGTTCTTTTAAGCACTGTCAAGGCTACAAGGCCCTTCTAACAGGAAGACCGATTGGCCTCTACACATGTATTCATCCGTGTCGCGTTGTCTGCTCGGCAACTCCTCAGCGTCTGCTTGCACGCGTAGGGAACAGGAGGTGCTTCTGTGCAGTTGAAGGACCATGGAGAACGAATGCGAAACTGGAGTGTCATCAGGGGAAAGTATAGAATGTAGAAAAAAAGATAGATGTTTATGTGCTTTTTGTTTTACTTGTCATTTACTTCCTAAAGGACGCTTCGCAAGTCACATGACAAATTTTAGTTACAAACTTGAAGTTGTTACGTACCCTGAATAGCTTTCTACCACACGAATTTCCTAATTGGTTCATTACGAGCCCCACAAGCGTGATGCGAGGAAGTTAACTTCAAACATTTTCCGCTCACCTTGTGTGCTTGGCTGATGCAATCCTTTTATGTTTTAGTGATACGGAAGGCATTAGTCAAGCATCTGTTGTTTCAGCGATCGCGAAACGCCCTTTTCGGAAGAAACCCGGAAAGTATTGTAACGTGAACGTCATTGTTACACGTGATACACTATCATTTGGTATATTAACCTTATGTTTTTCTGTGAAATTACCTAGTTGCGAGTGCAGCGGTGTCGTCATTGTTCCTTTTGTGCCTTGTCTCCATGTGTTGCTTCACAAGCAAACATGAACTATGATCAACTAACCCAACTGTCAATGCTACTGAGCTTCTATTCAAGCAACAGACTGCACAAATTACACATGGTGCCTCGAATAAGTCTCGCAGTGTCACGTACTACTTTCACGTACGCAGATATTTCTTGCGCGGGAGGGTGACGGCAACCTTCTTGATCTAAAGTAGGGGCACTATAGGCAAAACAGTCATTTTGCGCTATGTATGCATGGCAACAACTTTTTTTCAGAGGATGGGGGGCACAGGCCCGGAGTGCCACCCCCTGGCATCTTCACCACGATGGTGTGCGCGCCTGTGAGATGTATAGCGCCCGTGAGATGTATCTTTGCAAGAGCACTGACTACTGATTTTTCAGAAAGCAAATGCCTATGTCAAGAGCCTGCTCGCCATCGTGAAAAGACTGCTGTAGGTAGCACTAGAAGTTCTACTGGCATCAGATGTTGGAAATAAAACTCCTTCACTTCCACAAGGCGGTGGTCATGCAGCCAACCACAAGTCTAACACAGATTACGAGGGTTGTTGAAAAAAAACAAGGAAACAAGGGTCGTTTGGTCCCCCCCACGCCCCTCAGAAATAGTTTTGACTAAAGGTTTCTATGGAGTTTAGTACAATCCTAGCTCAATTTCTACATAGTAACTGTGAACTTCTAAGCACTTTTCCTGCCACTGCACCAGTTTCTTTAGTCCCTCTGCATAGAAGATTGCCACCTGAAAATTTTTTGCTTTTCTGAGTTTGTAGGGAAGCATTTTTGGTTCCCAGCTTGCACACACTTTGTAAATTTCAAGCTTCTTCAATCACTATTGTGCAAATCGTAGAGCGTTCAACAAAGAAAATCTACACGGCAGCTACAAACTGCCACTTGTCGACTTAATTGCAATGCTCAGCTCATTTGTTTACCAGTTTCACTGGCCCTGATGCTGAGCCTGCCACTCCACTTTTCTTTGTACAAATAATGTGGCCATTGGTGAAGTACTCACATTGTTTTTCCCTACTTTCCCTTCACTCATCACTGAAGGTCCATGAATTAGGCACAACTTCTGATGAATTTGAGAAGCTCAGGAACCCTTTGCCCACAAAAGGCTAATTACAACTCTCCATTCCTAAATAGCGGAGCCTCGATTCTTGCAGGCCGTTTCATCTCGATTACACGTCAAGGCGTTGACTACCGAGCCAGAACAATAAGTTCAGCAGCTTCCTGAAGAATGAACAGATGGCCCCGCACAAAATAAATCCTTACTCTGATGCATTAAATATTAGCAAACAGCCCTTACAATTGAATCACCCCAATACTTTGCCCATAAGCTGTAGCACACAGCTGCACTACCGCTCGCGTGACCCATTTACTTTCTGGGGCAACTGTACTGTAATTAACTAAAAGAAGCGTCCCTGACGTGTTCCGAGCACTTCACATTAATCAAGACACTCTACCATCCACACAACTTTTCAACTCATTCCACCGGAGCAACTACTGCTACACTGTATCAACGATCGTCATCTGCCAGATAGCTCTATTATTTGGCAAAACAGACAAAGGAAAAGAAAACAAACTTGTCAAGGCTGGACAGCATCATCACAACTTATGCGCTGCCCCCTACTGTGATGCAAGGAGACCTTCAGTGGATGTGGTCACCATTTTCAGCTGGGAGTGCACTGTTGGCACTACAGCAAAAGCATGCTAGATTTGCTGGATCTTTCAATTTGGTTCACGAGGTGTCCCACTTCTTTTTGCAGGGTGCAGGAAAGTGCAAGACAAGTTTTCTGTGATAGCAATTGCATTAGTCAACCGTTGATGTCACAGTCAGAAAAATAGATTCTGTTCATTGGTTGCTTATAGGTATGTGTGCAGTGTATGTTCTTGTATATATTAAAGGTTTTTAAAATAAATCTTGTAGTTGCTAGACTAACACTTGTCCCTTCTCATTGTGAGCTTCATTCCTTTGTGTGCCACCCCATCGATGAATAGGTTCCAACCTGCACCCACCTTTCAATCATACTAAAATTTTTTGGACTTAGGTAGTAGCATGAAACGAACATTAGGCTGAATCGTATGTGGGGCTTTACATTTAAAGACCACGGTGTGAGATCAAAGCACACTGTGGCGGGGCAACCAAATCAACTTTGACCACCTTGGCTTCTACATAGCACAAGTTGGCCATAAAGCCACCAGACGTACAGACGGAATCGCTCGTCCAAGTGTGTGGAGCCCGTGGGTGTGTACGTTGTTGTCTGCAGCTGCTACCACACGTTAGCTGCAAAATTCTGTTCACACTTGAATTATAGTCCAAGGACCAACCATACAATATGACTATGTGAGGTATCACTGCAGCACCAGTTTTTCCATATCTCTGTTGGGAAAAAAAAAAAAAAAAAGCCAGGCCTGCACGAAACGTGCAGCACAGTCACAGTGAAAGAAAGAAGAGGCTTTTCTAAACACTCTTTGGGTGACTGCTACAAGCACACTGCTGGGTACTAATAATCATAATTTTTGTCTAGTAGGCCAGAATTCACTAATGCTATCCTTCGTCATTCTTTGGAAGAGCTTGGTATCCACTGAACAGTTGTTAGGGATTTAGTAAAATTTTTTATGCAGTGGGTGACGACGAAGAACTATGACTGAAGTGGGCCTGCGTTACAGTTAAATATGTGATCAGGAACAAGTTTTCTAATGGGTTGGAGCATTGAACGACCCATTTGTTACGCAATTCGCATTGTGTGATGCCTCGCTGTTTTTTTGATGTTCTAAAACACTTTATTACTCATACTAATGCAATTCCTTTCCTGACATCAAGCCTGCTTAAGGCCAGTTTAGAAACAAGTTCCGAGCACTGGCGTTGGTCAGTGGTAGAATACTGGGATGGCATGCAGCGAACCCGGGTTCGAACCCCATTGCATCATGGGTGTGTTTTATTTAGTGAGTCTGTTTTCTTGTTCGATACTGGTTATGGACACCGGCAGACAACTACGGTGCCGCGTGTGACCTGTGTTCTAGCTCATAACAGCTTTTGCTGTAAAATGGCAGCTGAAGTGGCCAGCTGGGCATTCTAGACAAGTGTGATTTCGTCTGTATTAATAAGAGAAGACATTTCAATATTAGGCGGCCAAATCAGGTTACCAAGTTCACACCACTGCCCTTTTCCAAAGCCTAAATAAGAAAACTTTTTTCTCTTTTCAGGACAGGTAGCTTTGAGCTCTATTACAATGCTACAGTACTTTGCTGTATCGGAAATTCTTAGTGTTCGCTATACAAACTTGCTCAAAACTAATGCTAAGTGTAGCACAGTTTCAGATGCAGAAGCAACAAGGCTACAACACAGTGACTGAGTCACTGGAAGGGGTTCATCAGCACACTTATGGCATGTGCGAGTGGTTGGAACTAATGTGGCTCTGCTACAAAGGTGATAAAGTAGCTTTATTACTGCAATTCTTGAATGGAAGTGGCAAAGTAGTCACCATGCTTTTGTATCAGTGCCACCTGCATATGTGAAAATTTAGCGTCTTTGCATGGCACAAGTGTGAATGAAAGCCCAGCAATAACACCAAGAAAATACACCATTAGACAGGCGGGATAACCAACCCTCCTGTCTAGCCAACTGTCAAAGGGGTCGTGAAAAGAAAATGCAGCTGCCCGGTTGTGATTTTCCATACTTCAAAAACGATCAGACCTGCCAATTGCAAAATATTTCTATGCAATATTTAGTAAACTCATGACACCTGTTCGAAATCTCCGTTTCCTTGGGCTCCCAAGCTACCATCCCGCTCTGCCGGCTGCCATATGCACTAAAGTGTGACACGAGTGTAACATTATGCTAAGAGATGTTCTAAACACAGTGTTAGCTTTGTTTTGCTCTAAAATAATAGGATTTATAGAAACCTAGAAAAGAAAAATGTGATGGCAATTTTTAGTCTTACGTTGTACACTGTGCAAGTGAGCTGCTGCTCAGTTCTGCTTCCAAGTAGATTTGGGCTTCGTCACAAATGCATCCTTTCTTTCTCAGTTACCTTTGCTCGCTCAGTGCAGCATCCCCGTTTTTTTTACTGGCTGTGTTAGGTCCCATTTTACTGAGTGTCCTGGGTGGCTTAGTCATTGCTTTGCCAACCTTATGCATGCATCGTCCGGTGGCGTTAGAAAACTTTTCAAAGTAAAAATGTCTTTACTGGGGCACAACCGAACCGGTATGATGCTACGAACCAGGATCAACTATGGCACAGCAAACATCGTTGCGTCGCCATGTTTTGTCTACGATAGACTTTTTATTGGCCGTTCAAATGTTTTGAAACACCCGTGGTCTCAATAGGGACCAAACTGTGCGCGAAATAACTGGAGTTCGTGAAATTGACAAAACGAAATAAAAAGTGCAGGTGAGACTTCTTCAGGTTTGTCAGCAATAAAAAAAAGGTATCTCGAGTCATTATTCTGATGTTGGAGGCTGCAGATTGTTGCAATCAGCGATGACACGTGCATGAGTTCTGCTGTATCTTTATATGCACTTTTACAGGTTTTATCGGATGGCTGTTACTGTACAAATAGCAGGAGTGATCGCAAATAAAACTTTACTTGCAAGTTAGTGCCGTGTGTCTCTCTCCTATGTCTTTGTCATGGTGCGCTATAGCCATATGAATGATGAACCACAACAATCTAGCCCGGCAACGTGCCTCATCAATCCTTCAATCTGCTTAACTCTACCCTAGGCCACATTAACGAGAATCACGGAAAGGCATTTCAACAAGTTCACATGCTAGAGCATCAGTTCGATTGATGCCAAAAGCACTGATCGATTGTGCAAGGGCCACATTTGGCCAGCGTGCCAAGCAGGTTAGTAACATGGGTTTAAGATGTCTTTCAGTGGACAGGGCGGCTCCACAGAGGCCTATTAGTAGGTTAATTATAGCACATGCATTAAAATTAGGACAATCACTACCTGGATGCACAGTGACTATGCTTTTCAATTTTCGAACAGGCGAACCACTAGAATGTGGAGAACCATCGGAACCTCTTGTAACGTGCGATAAGCATATGTCACCATGAAAAGCTATTCAAGAGGAAAGGCTTCACTGAATTCTTTTCGGACGAAGACATTGTCCCCCTTTACCAATGCCAACACCCAAGCAGCTGTTAACTGTTCAGATTCGCACTCACTGAAGGCTGACTTTACTGCTAAAACGTCCACAGAGAGGCTAAAGTGTTTTGGCAAAACTACACAAAGAATGATGGCTACCCTGCTGTTGCCATTAATGAACCAAGCAATGATGCCAAGTATAGGGGACGTTAGAATTGTAAACCTAGATATGAAGAAAGAAAAGTGGACTAAGAGGGAACTCTCCATCGGTGTATCCCTGCTGGTGACAAGATTGTTTCACCCACTTTTCTTCCTTCACATTAAAAATTACTTCTAACATCCCCTATGCTCTCCTTGGCATCATTGTCTGTTGGTTCCGATATTGTATCCCAAAAAAATAAGCCTTTGAGATTCCACTTTATTTTGTTGCCGTTCTTACTTAACTCCTTACTTTGTTCTTATGCTCTGGTATACTGTTACATTAGACAAAAAAAAAAAAAAAAACATTAAGCACAGCGAGTGTTCTAATGCAACAGTATGTAGCAGCAAATGAACGATACCCACACAAACTATCCTGGGTTGAAGCATTATTGAATGTTTGCTGTTAAGCATACAAATCTCTGTGCATCCTTGTTTAACAAAAACTGGGGCATGGGCAACTGGAACCTCCACCTCTGAGCCAGCAGCAACTACACAGCTGAAACTCCCTACCAAGAGAATTTTTGTTTTTAAAAGGCTCACCGACACATCTTTGAGAGCCAGCCAATATTAAAAGGCAAGGATAGTACAGGGGACATTGTACTGTTGCAACTGTATTGTATTATGGTACAAATGAAAAAAAAGCGAACAAAAAGAACTTTCAGAAAATGAGCCCCTCTTCAAAATTGAGCCCTTGATCGGGCATTTGTGTGCAGGCAAATCTGGGAAAGAGTTGTCTTTCCGTCCACTTAGAAAAGGCTTCACTCATGCAAAGCAACTACAGTGCAATTGCCAAAGCAGGCAGCCGGCTGACACAAGCTCCCAGCACCTCCAGCGCTGTAACTGACGCGGGCCAAACCAAGAAGCGAGTCACCTGTGAGCCATCTTTTCCTCTCCTCAAAGCAGGTTCTTCAAGTAGACGACGTGAGCGTCAAGACTACAGGGCGAGGGGGTACGAAAGCGGGTCGGGTGGGGGAGGAAGAAAGATGCAATTGTTTCATACCCAGACGAGTCAAACCCAGAGCGGCGTGGCGAATTCTCGCACAGCGCGTTCCCCCCAATGCTTGCATAGTGGTGAGTTCCCGAGGCAAAGCCATGGGGCCTTTCCACATTGCCCTAGAAAAAAAAATGAAAGAAATATAGTCACCGGCTGAGTCGTGATTGCGACAGGCCTAGTAACTTTTTCCTCCGAACAAAACCACAAGGCAAGGTGCTGCAGATCAGCCTTTTTGTTTTTATTTGTCCTCGCGTAGTGCTCCCTGCAACAACAACTGCATGGTTCACTAAAAAATCAGCCTTTGGAAAGAAGATTGTACATGAGGCATTTTTTCTTCATTTTATACACAGTCAAAGAAAGTAGGAAAAAAATAAACGCCAGTCCTACGCAGCACACGCGCACACAAAACACACATATTTAGAGAATAAGTTTTTTCAACACAAAAAAATGTCCTCGAACAAGCTCCCGTTTCTTTTCTACAGCCGCAAAGTTCAACCCTCTCTATCTCATCCGGTAATTTTCTAGCAGTCCTTAGTTGGCCGCGTTCGGCCCGGTAAACGAGCTTAAAAATGGTAAATACACCCGAGCCCGCATCGGCTGGCGCGCTCAAGAGACGCAACCACAAAAGAACACATTCACAGTATAAAGTCACCAACGGAGATCAATAAAAAAAAATCCGGGGAAGGGTATTTTTTTTAAGAAGCCAGCGCATGAAGAAGGCGTAGCGAACGACGACTCGATGACGTACCATTGCTCGCAGAGGTCAGCGATCTTGTTTGTCTTCCTTCTTCGTCGCGAAGGCAGCCGCCACGTGCGAGCATCCATTGTGGCGTGGCTAGGCCTACACGAGTACGCAGCATCCACCATTCTCTTGCCGGTTTTTTTCAAAGATGGACGCCCGGCGGCAGTCGAGGTGCACAAATAAAAAAAAAACCGGGCCAGGGCTCAGCTTCTTCGGACGCGACGGGAAGCCGCTTGACGTCTCCGCCAGACCGGATGAGTTGCGCTAAGAAAACCAAGATAACGCCTAATGGCCGTTTTGGGAAGTAATGCGATGACCGGAGGTAACAAATGCAGTCCTAGCGTAAACCGCCACGAGACACGATGAGGGGAAGGGGGTCGAATGCTTTTTTTTCTTTCTTCACGGTAGGCCTAGAACGATGACAACGCAACAACGAACTCTTGTGTGCGGCGGCGGAGGTAAAACTTTTTTTTTCTTCGTTCTCTCCGTTCTGCCTGGCTGTCTCGCGGGAAAACTCCTCACGGCTTCTCGTCGCAGTCGCGCGATATGTGGCCCTGTTTACCGCAAGTGTAGCAGGTCTTGCCGTCCTCGGGGCATTCGCGGGCGATGTGTCCCGCCTTGCCGCAGTTGTAGCAAGTCAGCCGGCTGGGGCCAAAACCGCCACCGCCTCCGCCTCCCATGCGGCTTGGCGGTCCCCCGCGCATGCCGCCGCGACCACCGCCGCCGCGGGAGCCGAACCCACCTCCACCACCGCCGGAACGGTACGAGTTGCCGAACGACGAACCTCCGCCATAGCCGCGGTCTCCCTGCGGGCACTCACGGGCGAAGTGGCCGGGCTTGTGGCAGGCGTAGCACTCCTGGCTGCTCATGTTGACGCTGTTTGGTCGGTGTACTGGGCTCCGGGAAGAACCGAGCGAGTCTCCGTAGAAGGTTGGCAGCGGGAAACGGGTCCGAGAACGAAGCAGCAACTCGTACGCCGACTGACACCAACCGACGCCGGCACGAAATGGAACAAAGAAGCCCTTTTGCACACGAACCACTCCGACAGCTCACGTGGTGCAATTTGTGCACACGGCTCGCAGCGCGAGCCCCGCTCTTCATCGAGGCGTGCGCATGGCCCCCGCTGCGACCGGCCGGCGCCAGCGGTCAACCGAAACTGATCGAAAGAAAAATATTTATGACTCCCGTGGGTAAGACAGCTGCTTATGCTGCAGATCACGCAAACACTTGGCAAGTGCAGCTGAGACAATGCGGAAAGCTGACGGGAAACGAGTGACAACGCCTTTCATCCCGCCGAGAGTACAACTTTTGAAAAATTTCAGCGTGTTCTGACTATGCCCATGTGAGGCGCGAGAAAATGGAGCTCACATACATCTCTCATTCACCCCAGAATTGGTGGTTTGGTGTGTGTCACGTTGCGTTGTTAAAATCGGCGCCTCCGCGGTATGACAGGCGTTTGTTTACAGCTTGCCGCGGTCGTTGCTCCCGATGCGCGCCGCACGTTCAAGGCCATGTGCAGCGCCCGTAGTACGGCCGATAAGAAAGCGCGAAAGGTCCGGTGCAGTGCGTTTCGACATCCTGCGTTGCGTAACGAGTCTGCCCGACGAGTTGGGCGACCTCGTAACTGGAATGCGCTTGACAGCGGCGCCGGCGAGCGCAGGGAATTCCTTGCGCAAACTGTGGCCCGCATGAAAGCTTGAGGCGAAACCGAAACTCACTCAAACTGATTGTTTGGGAAGCGTTCCTCGGAGCACTGTATTTTTCAGCTAATAATATCAATCAGCAGTAAAGAAAGGCGCATCGTTATTAAAATAAAAGACAGAATAAATCCACGTTAGCGCAAATGAAGCAACTTATTATTTTTTACTGTTGAGATGACGTGGCACGCGACCGATCGCGAAGGCAAGGCATATGTAAGCAGTACGTAGCGTATGCGTATGTAACCATATGTTGCCACAGAACACCTACCAGTTTACTCTATGCAAACACTACGCCAGTGCTGTACGGCTGTTTTATTATAAATTAACGTGCTCTGCGATTACTTGTCCTGTCTTCTGTGCCTCGTGGGACCCGCGACAAACGTGCAGCTGTTCTTTGACGATATTTGCCAAAATGATTTTAAAGCCGGTATGTGGTGTGATTGTCTATGTTTTACATAATTACAAGGACTTTATTCTCTGTAACTTACTTTGTTTATACATCAGTTCGCCACGGATCCAGATAATGAAGCGCCGCATCATGCATCTTTTTTTCCAGTTTATCTCTGGGCAAACATATGCGGTCAACAGCGCAGGTCATGTCAGGCGACGAGACCATCTTCAGCGAAAAAAAAACGCGCGCGTTGGCGATCGCAGGCGGGAAGAGTGTTCCGTGCGCAGCGCGCATGGCCCGCGATTGAAATCCGAGCAGTACGCGTGGGGAGGAGAACTGTGCTTTTATACTTCACTGTATTCAGGTGTGCTTTGACGTAAACGGCCAGGGGAGGATGAAAGAGCGGAGGCTGTTTCAAGCGTGCAGACACGCTTCGATTAGATAGCACGACGTGGAGCACTGGCCGCGTGTCGGCAAGATAGGAGATCCGGCGGCAGCTGTGACCCTAAATCTGTGCTGCTGTGATAACCTATCGGTGATAGCTCTAAATACAGGGCATTAATGATGGTCGACCTTATGCCGTTTGTTTTCTTTCGCAATTAAACTCAGCATATGATTGCAACCATTTCATAAATGTCATTAAACGAGGGCCACGATTATGTGCTGCGTCACATCTCGAGCCATGCAGGGAAATCGAGGCAAGAAAAAACAAAACGATTTACTTACCCCCCCCCCCCCCCTTTTTTTTTTAAGTTGTTGCAGGTCACCTAGAACGGCTAACTTGCCTATTACTAAAGAGAACAGGAATTGGCGTTAGGGAAATTAAAGAGAAAAAGTAGCATAGCCATCATGCAGTATAGGCATGAGCACAGGGGGAGGGCAGGTGGAGTGCCCCCCTCCCTACCCACGTAAAAGGGGAGAGGGTGTGAAGTCAGTACCGTACTATGACTTGCTCAGAAATATGTGTTTCATTGGGCTACTTGGTTCTACATGGAAGGTAAAACAGAGCAAGACAGACAATAAATACAGTTGTTATAATCAGTGCTTGTCCTGTGTCACTTTTGTTCGTCGTCATCTATTTTACGCTGTTCTTACCTTTTATACTACGACTCAGTTGTGTGCAGGGGAACCTTGCGCATGCCTACGCATGGAAGGAAGGAACCTCGATAGCTTGTGTACAGAGAAGTGATGGAATGGAAGAATTACAAATAAACAGAGAAAAGGAAAGGTGCAGCTGAGATGAAGACCAGCCAAACCAAATGCTGGGGAAGGTTAGCACTTGCAGCTGTTTATCTTTGTTCGAAAGTATAGTGTAAGGCATTTAACAAAGGTAGATCTATATACTCAAGTCGCAGTTAGAAAAAGTAAATTGGCTTCCTTAAAATTATATAAACAAAAATATTTGACAAAAATAAAGTGGCATAAAAGAGCACAGGTTATCAAAATAACTCAGCATTACGTATACTTTCTTGTGGTCCACAATTACTGTTACCTTTGACACTGTTTGAGCAGTCATACCTTTGCTGTTTTTCTTTCAGTTTGACGGTACTTTTTTTTACCTGCATTCAGTCCATATATCACATGGAAACAACCTAAAATTTCTTGGTGACTCGAGGCTTAGAATGCTTGTACTGCAGTAGATTATCGTAAAACCTGAGTGTCTGGTGAGATTTGGTACCATGCCTACTTGCGATCCCGAAAAAGGCACAAAAAAGGCCCTCGACAGGGGTGCGGTAGCACTCGTAAAAGAGAGTGTGCCACCATAAACAAAGAAGAGAGATGTGCATGAGAGCTGTTCAGACCCCCCCCCCCCCCCCCCTGAGAACTGGAAGACACGAAAAAATTAATTTGAATGAGTAAATGTTGTGTCAACCAAGACATTGCTTTTATGTGGTAAAAGCTGTACACGATGTCGAGGCTCAACAACAAGGCAATACACATGCCCTCCTGTCAATGGGACAAATAAAGTGAACTGATATGTATTTTATAATATGTACATACAAGATTTATTGAAATTTAGAAAATTATCAGCACTGTAAACCACAAAAAGCAATCTCACGCTTGAATGTAGCTTAGACCAATAGACTCTTGGACAAGTTGGTAATTCAGGATGAATAAAAATAGCGCAGCAAAACATGGGACAAGACGAAGAAAGCTATAAGACAATTTGCATACCAACAAAAAAACCTTTATTGAAAAAATATATAGTATAGCAAGCAAAGAAACACAATCTCACTGCAAATAGAACCAAATACTTCAGGTCTGTGCATCCAGGTACCTGTAGCATTGTGAACACATGTGCCTTTTTTCTGCGTGCACTGATGTCACACTTTCAACAAGCATATCCTCATAACCAGAGGCACAAATGATATGGAGGGAATCAGCAGAGGTGAACAATTTCCCCTCCACCAGGGAGAAATGCCAAATTACTAGCTTAGTTTATTCCAGATGTAGTATATTGTTAGACAACAAACTATACATAATTAATCTTCGACCTTTGATTACAACTATCATTGATTTTGTATGCCTCCAGGGCATTGCTTATGGGACATTTATACTTTAGAAAACCTTGACAAAGGAGCAGCACGTAAATTTCACAAGGGTATCTTGAAAGGCACTCAGTTGTTTGTCAGTACTTGTGTTGCCCGCTTCTTTTCCTCTGTCTTATTATTTCACTGTTTTTTATCACAGTAGCATTCGAACTGCTCAAGTGAAGCTCTGCCTCATGTAAACTACAAGATGTGTGGTGGATTTATGTAGTTTTTTATTCTGCTCCCTAGCCACACTTGTCATTAGGTCATACAGGTCAATGATTTCTGAAGAGGCACACACAGTAACAAACAAATACTATTCGAACCTAAGTAAAGTGCTCACGTACACAATTGTCATAGCTCAATTCGTAAAGCTGGAATTTCTTTCTTTTTCATCTTTGCCCAGGAAAATGAGATAGAAGGTGTGATCAATTTACAATTCCTGTCAAGCGAGCTTGTTAGACAGATGTGCAATGTGAGTGAAAACAAAATTTCTGCTTATAAATAGCACAAGAGCCAATTTACCTGCTGCATTTTAACTTTATTATAAACAATTTTGCTCACTTTGTGTACTCCAGGAATGTCTAGTCAGGTTACGTGAATTCACTTACAATGTAGTCTATTAATTCTCTCTTTTTAGTCACAGAGAAAGTTCTCTGCTTACTCTGTCTCTATAATACTTGAGAAGCATGGGCGGGCTGTATAATGAAAATGCAAATCCGCACTACTTGGCAATTTAAAGTTGAGCTTGTTCATTGTGTGGATGCTGGAAAGCCAGTTGTTGCACTGTTATGGAGCATTTTTGTAGGCCTATGCTCTTGTTCATTTTGCCAGAGCTAAACGTGTCACCAGTGTCGTATGATGATTTATTCAGGAAGAAGTGACGACCTTGGAGTAGACACAATTCAGTAGAACATAACAGGCTCAACGCAATGAGGCAGGCATGATGCCATGCTTGATATACCATGCTGGTGGTGACTTGATCTTTGTCAGGTTGTATAATAACGGTTCATTAAGCCATCATGAGCCACATGTCCACATTTGGGATTGGCAAACAGTACAGCAGAAACATGCCAATATTTTTCTCACTAATACATTTAAAGTGTACAACATTTCTAGTGTCTGCTTCTAACAAAAAATTAACAGATACTTTTGTACAGATACCACGCATCATTCTTGTCATTCTTGCCTTATGGGTTTAGAAGTTTCATTAGAATGGATGTGCAGAGGAGGTACGTCAATGACTTTGGTGACGTGGTCTGCCACAAGGCCATCCAGATGTTCGAATAGGGCCTTGTTCTGGCATGAAAGAAAGAGAGCAGAATGGAATACGCTAAGAAGTGTGCAACAGCTCGCATGCCTAAGCTATTAGTCCTGATAATCGATGGTGCGAAAGATCCTTACTGCATGTTTGTACTATACATTTGCTGAATACTTTTTTTGTCTACTGTCCCGTCAGAATCGTACTAGTGTGGTTCTACTGCATTTGCATCTCAGATTATTGTACAGCTGACTACAAGCACCTCCCATAATCATGGCTAGCTGAGACCAGGAGGCAGGGATTGCAGAATAATTTTTGGCCAGGGGAAGGGCAGTCACAACACGCAAGTTACTTCTAGGGGGCAGGGAGATGGGGACTTATGCACAGCGTTATGATTATGTTTGATCTTTGGCTGGGGGGTGTGTTCAGGGAGGTGCAGGCTGGAATTCCAGGGGCAACTGCACCCACCATCCGTCCACACCGCTGATGCTGCACGGTTGAACAGACGGTATCATCTATCCTGGACAGTGTTCCCTATCCACAGAGGTGACTAGTGGAGCAATGTCAATGGAATGAGAATGCTGCTGAGAACGATAGTAGGTGTGCAGGTGTAGATTGTAGTCTGGATGCGATTGGCAGACACAGCTGGGTATTGTTACATAAGGCCTTTAATTTCCAGTGGTCTTGAAGCAGGCCGTTAACAGTCATGAGGGAAGTCTGCTGCTATTTTCTGGGTGGATGTCTAGCGTGTGTAAACTTAACTTCTTCAAATTGTTCTAGTAAAAAAACAAAACAAAGTTGGTTTGTTTGGCCTACCCAAGCTACACTGCACGTAGTAGATATCTGACTAGTTTACTGCATCCATGCACACGAATAAGCTTCATGTTTTTCCTCCCGTCACGAAAACTACATTTTGCGACTAGCATTGCTATATTGTCCAGTGTTAGCTTGTGTGGAACGAAAGTGATAATTATTGGTGATGGTGCCCACTGATGCACCTAGGTGGTTCACGTTGATTGTTGCATGTCAGAAATGCCCTCACACCGGCTTTATTAGAATGATAAATCTTAGCTGATATGTAATAAGGTGAAAAAGAAGTGCATTATGAGAAGTAAGAATTTAACAATAGTTTTAATTACTATGGAAGTAAATACTGGGGTTTTTACAAGCCAAAACTACATATGATACCATTATGAGGCGCACACTAGCAGGGGACTCTGGATTAATTGTGACCACCTGGGAATTCACTGAAGCCTAAGCACACGGGTGTTCATGCAATGCACTTTCATTGAAGTGAAGTGGCCACGGCTGGGAATGCATTCGGTGGCTGCGTGCTAACCACTGAGGCACCACAAGCATGATCATAGCACTGCACTGCTCTAATCAAATAAATAACGATGCACATGTTTTCGGCTTCAGGTATTCCTTTTTTTTCCCCTTTATTATTTAGTGTTGAAGGTATATAAATTTGTACCATTATGTGCACTGCATATAGTGCCGATTAATGTGCACACGCCAAGCGTCCTAGTTATAACACTGACCTCCTAAAGTTGTAATGCAGTTGCTCAAGGGACGTGTTGCTTAGATCAAAATCACTGGTTCCATTCTAGCTGCCGTGGCTATAGTTCCATGGTGAATTAATATTAAAATGCTTTTGTAAATTTTTTTTCCTACTTCGATAGCTCGTTCTTAGTTATACATAGATTTCAAAGAATCCTAGGTGGCGAAAATTAAAGTGCGATCACTCATGTACCTCATAATCATATCATAGCTTTGGCACAATAACGCCCAGGCTCTAAAATGTTACTTTCAAATGGTGACTTACCTACAGAGAGCATAATTTAGAGCACTACTTAAAAACTGCTACCATGCCTGTGCCTTAACATCAATAAATGTAGTAGAACTAGGTGTGGTGCTTGAATAAATAGTACACCTAGTCGCACGGTCCTTTCCATCGGCGAGTTTTTTACCTCAAATCTCATTACTGTTGTTTTTCAACCCCCTGCTCACCTGATTTGAGTCCATGCGACTTTTCCCGAAATTGAAAGATGTCGCAAAAGGTTGTCATTTTGGCACACTGGAGAACGTTCAGAAGGCTGTGACCTACCAGTGAAAAGCCATACTAGTTGAAAACTTGCAGCGCTGCTACAAAGAGCGGGAACAACAACTCCAAGTGTGTATAGCTACCCAAAAAAACTAGTACTTTGAAAGGGATAGCATTGTTGTTTGAAAAAACTGAAAACTTGGGCTAGTACAAACTCAGTCTCATTACTTTCCTAACACACCTCGTATATGTAAGAGAAAGAAATGTGAATAGCAAAACCAGTCACTCTAATAGGAAACTGCCACAATTTTCTTGCAAACCATTCACACCTACGTCATCACTTGCCATACCTCCAAACTGCCCAAGAGGATTTCAAGGAAAGAAATTGATTACACGAGTAAGGTGTGTGGCACGTAAGAACAACAGAAAAGTGTTGAAGATACTACATGCACTCTATAGTAATGACGCGAGAGTGCCCTTTGTACATGTAAGGGTTGGTGCATTATAATGCCAGTTTATGTTCATGACTAAAACTGTGCGTTTTAATCCTCCATGTGAAAGACTGGAAGTTTCTACCCCAGACTAAACATACTAGACAGGTGGCAGAAAAGCTGGCACAAAACAAAGGGCCAACTCAATGAACAGGACGACAGTGCTAACATTTCTGCAGACTGAAAGTGTACTTTTTAAAACACACACCTTGAGCACTTCGTGTGGCATGCTGGGTGTATCTGAGCCCTGAAGCAAGGTGCAGCTTTGCTCTGTTGAAGACTATGCACTTTCTGGCTGACCATGGCTGCCGTATATGTTCAACAGGACAAAAGAATGATGCTCATTGTGAGAATTAGATGAAGTTATTCATTGCTTATGAATACTAGGATATTGAGGTCTTACTCATGGACATTTCATGACAGTGAAAAGTGAGCTACCGAGATGAACTACACTGCTCTCAGGAAACAGAAATCTCTTACGTGGCACTGCCATTTAAATGAAACAAGCGATTCTGACAAGATTGGTTTCGTACTTGTATTCTGTGCTTGTTCATCTCCCAGTACATGGAACTTAGGTTACACTCAAACCTCGATGGATAAACCTGTATATAACGAAATATCGGTAGCAATGAAGCAATTAAATGAACAACAGTCTTGCACTAGATACAGTGTTAGGAATATCTCCTAATAACAATTTCCGGAAATAGCTTAATTTTGTGTAAGATACAGCTTTTTTAAAACGATGTTTGAATGTAAATGAAACATATTTTCATGTTTCCTTCAAGTTACATTTATTAGGTGTACTGTATGTGTATTTAACAGCACTCCTGAAGATGATTCCCCAGTCTCATTCGTACTTAAGCTGGACGACAAAAATCATAAACACCTCATTTACAATGGTGCTTGCATTAAAATTAATTTAGAGTAATACATTACTAATACCATGTTTACATCATTGCATGAAAAAAAAAAGCAAACTACACTGATTAATTACCCAAAAAATCAGGCTCGAACATTAAAGGATCACTCACCAGGCCCGAAACCAAATTTTAGTTAGACAGTGGGGTGTCCGATAAGGAACATTTTGCCTCAAAAATTGTTTGAATCGGTTCATCACGAGCAGAGCAGAGAAAACAGGTTTTTTGAAGCGGCGCAAAACGAGGACGAGAGGAGGCGAGCTCGAAACCCTTGCCACTCCTCCGCGTAGCCTTCGCAACACAGATCTCTTCCCCACCCTCTCCGGCATCTGACCAAGAGGTCACGTGTGCATGACGTGCCCAAAAAAGTCCAACCCCCGATCACGTGAGCGTCGTTGCTTTGTTGACGAGCGTTATTTTGTGGTCTTCTGCCTGTTTTTGCGGGATAGTTCGGAAACGTTGGCTTAGACCTGGTAGAGTAGATGAGCACAATAAGTGTGCGAACGTGTAGGAGGGTTCCACGGCTGTCGCCTGCTCAATGCACTGACCGCGGAATCGTGGGGACACGAATGCATGCGAAACGCCGGCACATAAGCTCCGCATCTCGTTGCAGTTCAGGGAGAAAAAAAGAAAGAAAAAGAATGCTCACATTCCTTTATTGCGTTGCATTACTTATCTGGAGACTTATTAATCTCTTCAAGCAACAAATACATAACTACGCATGTTCTGTTAAATTATTTTCGCCATGTCACGTGCTACTGTTGGCAACGTCAGAGCACAGTCGTCTACGTAGAGGACCAACGTCACTGCACTGCCGTGTACGTAAAGCCGTTCATACGCGCACGTCACGCCCTCATTCTCTGGGCGCGCGCCAGCAAAAGGAAGGGCGAGCAGCGTTCATCTTGATGTTTGACCCATTTATGCAGCTGTTGCACATTTCCGCAGGTGTGGGATGTAGCGTTGCAAATTTTGGCAGACGTGATCATTAACGCCTCATCTACACATTGCGCTTGTCAGCTCAATATTGTCAAACCTGGTGAGTGGCCCTTTAATGGAAACGCTTTCCTTTGATATCCGTAGCGTTCGAAAAACTGTCGCCGAGTTGTCAGCAAGTACATTACAATATGTATGAAGACTCTCATGAGGAACTCTATTTTTCTTTTCAGTTACTGTCAAGAATAATTTGTTTCTACAAATGGATGCTGGGGTTCTGATTTTCTCCCCAACTTTTCTGACTAGACACATGAGTATGTATTTCTAAGTTTTTTCCAGCACACATGCTTCATCATGAGGCTGTTACCCTTTATTAGGTTGCAGTCAATGTCGATAACTTTTGATCATGTCAAGGTCTATTATATGCTGCGAGAACTTTATTTTATAGAATTACAACACCAACACCGAAAAGGTAGCAGGCCTTCGATCGTGTCTGAGCGGTGGAATCTTGAAAACAGTTCACTTTTTCGGCCGTAACACCCCTGGTCTCACAGAAGGCCGGGTACCAGCTTGGCCCTCCCGGTGATGCACGCGTGGCCCAACTACCTTGATCTTTCAGGTGGGCGAGCGGACAAGCTTAGCCAGTGCTGATGCATACACCAGCCACTGCAGGATGTCTGTCGCAGAAACCACCGACAAGCCCAGTGCGAGGAAATCTTGAAAAGCGGCCATCCCTGGGCAAAAAGTACTTCGAACGTGCACGTCTGGAGCTGCCTCTCACCTGCAATCAAGTTAAAACTGTGCAAGTTACTGCGTTACAATCACATTGTTTCTTGCTAAGCACCATGACAATTAATTCAGCTTTTAGATAAATGTGAGGATAGCTGTTCTTTCAGGGGGAAAAAAATAGTACAGAGGAGAAGAGATAACGCTCTTTCTTAACTCTGTACTAGTGCCTTCTTTCCAAACTGCTATTTGGGCGCTGTGCTAAACATTGTTACAAACTGTGTACTATCAACTAGCCTAAGCTATTGCTTGTAAAGTACAAAACAAATTGCTTTGCTGGACGTGCTGATTCATAGTCTGGCTGTTCACATTGAGCAGCCAGTGAGCAGCCAATGAGAGACGGGCGTAAGGCCACCCCACATTTTGCACGGCAACTGCGCAGTTTGAGAATAAAGTGGCCTTACAATTATCTCATTCTGTGTGTGTGTGATGTGTGTGTGTGTGTGGAAAAAGGGGGTCACACATACAGTATTGCTAGAGGTCCGTTGGTGCTGCAGGTTTTGCCTCATGAAAGGTGTGCTCCTACACTCACCAGCTCGGAATCAGATGAAGAGAGCCTTGCAATATACAGCTACTGCAGCTAAACTTCTGAGTATGGAATGTGTAAACAAAGTACAACACATGCAAACCAACCTGTGAGAGTAAGGTTGAGTGTTTTGGTCTCTTTGGCAAAGTAACTGCTGCGAAGAACAAGATGGCTTGGTGGACATGCTAAGACAACTTCACGCATGTGATGGGAATCGATCCAGGAAATCGTTCAGCTCATACTGCCTGTCTGGACTGATCATTCTGTAAGGAACACGATAAAATCAGTGCAACATAAAATAACTTACGTAATGACATTTAGAATGACTTTCAAGGTAACCCACACAAAAGTTCCTGCAACAACTTTTTGTTAACTAAATTTCTAACTCAAATGAAGGGCATGCAAGAGATGAAGTGGAAATTTACAAGAATGGTTCGATTGTTTATAGGACAAACAAAGGAAAGGTGAAAGGGGAAGTAGAAAAAAAAAAAAACACTACTTAAATGCTGCCTGTGGGACCTGGCCCAAAGTATACTAGTGCAACAGCAGTTTCTCAACCTGCTAAGCACATTGAGAAAGCAGCTTGTGCCCGCAGGTATAAGCTTAGAGTTGAGAGAGATGCATTCTGTAGAGGAACCTATCTAGTAGTACAGACTGTTGCGCGTTCAGGCTTGGCAGACCTCGTGGTCACATTCGTCATCACCTCACCTAACTTAGCGTGCCACTGTGTGCACATATACTTAGGAAGGCTGTAAAAGTGGCAAGTGCGGCATGGTAAGAAGCACCCAGTAAACAGCTCACTGGTTAGAAGAACCGGTTTGTATGCTCCCGTCGGCAACCCAAGCTGCACAAACTCCCAGAGTGGCACAGAAGGCAAGGAGGCACCCTCGCATAAGCGTACGAATACAAAAAAGGTAGTGTTGGTACGTTGTGGTGGCCGACCGCTACCTGCGATATGCTGCTTAGGGAAATGACTTCGCGGCTATGCTGAGTACTCTCGCGATGGTTAGTGAGCCAGCTCGTGAGGGATCGAGAAAATATCTGTTTGCACGGGTCTTCAGTGAGTGCAGTGTGAGGTTCAGACCAGTAAAAATAAGGTCTCATAATGAAGCAGGACTTGCACCAGCAATGTCTTGGTTCACGTTTTTAATTTGCCTGCAAGCGTTCACCTGTGTGGCACAACCGTGCACAAGCACTATAGGCAGCACTCTTTGGCTCGGTGCTCAGGAAAGATTAGCACAAGGTATGCACTCTGTGTATGTACAAGGTTATGTAGCTGTGTGTGCGCAAACGTAAGCGTTCCAACAATGCGGTCGTATGCATGCGGCAGCTTGATTGTTACTGACAGCAGCAACCCGAGAATGCAGAGAATTTCACGGAAGAGACAAAACTGTCACCCAATCGATTGTAACACATGTGGGATTGTGTGCGGCGCGTCTTAGTTTTTCGAAAACGACTGCGCATTGACTGACGAGATGCTTACACACACAGTGGGGGCGAGGCTGTATTGTAGTAGGGCGTTACGGCACTTCCGCTGCCTTTCGTGTCTTCCTGAGACCATGCAATCCAGTCCCTCCTTCCCCTTTTCTAAGAAACCAAGAAGACTGTTCTCAACTTGGGAAGGCTTTCCTCGAGGCCGTTTAGTCTTCGAACTTGCAGACACATGATGGACTGCTTCTTGAACGAGCTTCAAGCACTGCCACCTACTGTCACCTCTACACGGTTCAGATATTGGGTGTGTACTACTGTCCCAGGGCCAGCATGCAAAGCCAGACGAAGTAAACGAACTATTATCAGACTCTAGACGTGTGCTTCCTAATCTCTTGTATTTTCCCCCAGTCATGTGGAATGCCCTACTACTTAGGCTTTTGTATAATTGTTGCCGGTGTTGGTGGAATTAGTATGACCTCCGGGGAGAATAAACACCTACATTTAAAAGACAAATCCCTGCCTCCATGGCCTGATCGCCCTGTGGTTGCCACTCAGTGCAAACCAAAGTGGCACTCTGAAAGCTTTTGTCGCAGTCATAGTTTCTGAAGGACAACTAACAGTTTGCATATTGCAGGTTAGGGGAGAAATATATGTGGTGGGAAGCACTGGTGGCGACACCTGATGCTGCAGAGACACACACATAGCTAATACTAGTCAAGTGAATTGTGCATTTCACTCAAGTGCTTATGTAAAGCAGTGACAGTAAGATAAGCATTAGATGACAGTAACCTCATCTTTTTTTTCTATGAGAAAGTTGACGTAACTGAATAAAGATGTAACTGAGAAAAGTAAATGCATTATCGTTGGACCGAACGTCATGAGATATCACTACTAGCTCTGCTACTGCTGCCAACATGTCTAAAAATACAGTATCCGAAAACACTAAGAAGGTTATGGCAAACTTGGGCTCTCTAATGATAGGGCTGCTGCAGAAGTGTTAGCAAGTGACAGCCGATTCCCAAGCATGGCGCCATCCAGAGAAGAATCAGGTCTGCATGTGGATTTAAGCATCCCCCTTATGCAGAAGCAAAGCTATAAGGGAGTCTATACAGATTCCTTTGTACTGATGTCCTTGTGGTGAAGAGTGACCGTGTTGACCAGTAAAAATGAGGTCTCTTAATAAAGCAAGACCTGCACCAGCAATTTCTTGGCTAATGTATTTAATTTGCCTGCAAGCATGCACCTGTGCTCGTCCAGATGCAAATGCATTCTGTTTTGAAGTGATTCCATTGCTTCTGCAGCAGTTTTATCTTTTCGCTCACGCCAATGATTTTCGTTTCAGTCGCATCACGCATGCATGACGTGTGACATACACAACGGTTATGGCGAGCCTACTCATACAAGCGTTGTGAGTTTATCCAACAGCTTTCGGGGGAATGATCTTGCACTCATTCTGTGATAGAATGGAGTGGAACGTCACAAGAGAGTGAGGACAGACAGCCAATATGCGAAGAGGAAGGGCACCAGAAGAATGCATCACTGTTTGGTTGTCTGCTCGAGCAATGCATAGTGCATTTAGAAATGTTTTTAAGGAATGAAGAATCATCAGGTCGTTATCACTGACATGAATATTTGGGTGCGTTATTTTTCAGAGCTTGAAATTAAACATAATGATGACTTTGATTTGTTTGTGTTAATAGCCCTATTAGGCACTAAACGGTGTCACCATTTCACAGGAGCTGGTGCAGGAATGGTGGACTTTGTATGGCTAGCACCACAAGCATATGGACTACGCTGGCAGCAGCATGGTCGGTGCAAGAAGTACAACGGTGTTTATTGGGGCTCAGCTTATAAAGGCACCGGCGAACGCACGTGAACACAGTGCGCATCACTGACGCCCATTCGCGCTGATACAATCAGCACACATGCCCGATACATCCTCTCTCGTGGAACAAAACAAAATAAACACTTGCATAACAAGAAACATTCGCCACAGCTTATGACACTTGACTAAAGTGTTTGTCATAACGCAGCTTCTGTGGGGACCGGGTGGTACGTCGACCTTCTGGGAGCTGGCAGCGATGGGATGCCCGGCGAAGAACCATCGTTGCTTGCTAGTAGTGTTGTTCCCTCGGGTGTTTCTGGGGATGCTGCTTCACCTGCTTGAGCAATTGATTCTGAGGCTGTGGTAGGATTCGGTGAATGGGAGTCTATATTTGTGGGACTCTCATCGTAGTCATCACTGTCACTGCTGCACCGTTCCTTTGTCTTGAGGAGATGTGAGTTTTTATTAGGCAGGATCGAGGAGTAGTTTCTGCGACCACCTTCCCCCTTTGCGACCAGCCAGCAGTATACTGAAGCCGGACAGTTGTGCCCTTCTGTAGTACTCCCAAAGGCTTGTCAGCTTTGTCTTGGCAGTGCTTCGTCACACTTGTTCGGGACACCCTGCGAAAGTCGGGAAGGTTAGATCGAAGTCGCCTTCGTTGCAGAAGTTCACCCGTAGAATGCCTTTCTTCTAGGGGTGCTGATCGATAGGCTAAGAGACCCAGCCAGAAGTTTTCCCTCGCCTCTACAGTTTTTTCAGGATTCGCTTTACGATTTGCACACCCTTCTCTGCCGATTCGACTGTGCGTAACGAGGGCTTGAGGTTACATGCTAAAAGTCGTATCTCTTGGCAAAGCTGGTAAATTCATGGCTGGAAAACTGGGGTCCCTTATCTGTACAAACTTCTACAGGTACCCCGTACCGGGCGAACATAGCGCTAATAGCAGTGATCGTGGTTGCTGCGGTTGTGTTTTCAAGCTTTTCCACCTCAGGAAAACTTGAAAAGGCGTTGTAGGCAACGACGTACGACGTGTCAGCGTGAGAAAATATATCAACTCCGACCCTGTACCAGGCGCATTTGGGTACTTCTCGCATTAGTAGCGGTTCCTGTGGCTGCCGGTACGCGTATTTTCTGCACGTTGCGCAGCTGTCAACCAGCAGCTGTGATGTCGCCGTTCAATCTGGGCCAAAATATAAGTGTTCGAGCCCTCTCTTTAGGCTTCTGCAGCCCAAGGTGACCAGCATAAACTCTCTTCAGCATGCACTGACACATACTCCGCAGCATCACAACTTTCGGACCCTTAAAGATCACTCAATAAACGACAGACATGTTTTCCGAAAATGGCTTGAGTTCACCTGTTACCGGTTGCCCGCTTGCCAAACTTGTCATTACAGACTGGAGGTAGCTATCTTGAGAAGTTTCCAACTGTAGCAGCTGCTGCTACATGGTGACGCTGGAAACGCAGCGGCGTCACCATGTAGCCAAGGACTCCACCGCATGAACCTCGACAGTCATTGTCGGAGTCAACTTTGTCGTGTCCAGGACCTGCTTTGCCTGTGACAACATGTTGGCGAGAACAAGCTGCTTTCCGGGAATGTACTGCAACACAAAGTCATATTTTAGCAATCCCAAAAAGAACCTTTGCTCCCACGGCAGCATGTCTGTGATTTCTTATCGTGCGATCGCTACCAGCGGCTTGTGGTCAGTTTCGATCCGCATAGTCCGTCCGTACACGAATTAGTCAAACTTCTCACAGCCAAAACATATCGCCAGGGCTTCCTTTTCTATTTGCGCGTAGTTTTTTTTCCGCAACTGTTAAGACCCGAGATGCATACGCTACAGGCCGCCATTCATCATTGTAGCTTTGCAATAACGCTGCGCCGACACCGTCGTTCGATGCATCCCAGCTTATCTTGGTATCTTGCTGGGGATCAAAAATGGCAAGCAAAGGAGCGGTGGTCAAAACTTGCGTCAATAGTTTCCACTTTCGCGTGTGGTTCGCTGTCTATTGGAACTCTGACCGAGACCTGATAAGCTCGCATAAAAGCCTCGTTCGCTCGGACAGCCGCGGCACGAATTTTCCAAAGTAGTTAAGCACCCCCAGCATGCGCTGGACGTCGTTTTTAGACGTTGGCGTCAGCATTTCCACCAAGCTTTTGATTAGTTTTCGGGTCACGCGATATGCCTGTTCGGCCGATGACATCATCGAGAAACTTCACTTCTTTCACCCCTATCCTGAATTTTTGTGCGTTGAAAGTCAAGCCTGCTTTCTCGGCAGCTTTCAGCACTGCTATTAACAGCTCATCGTGTTCTTGCTTGCTAGAACCCGATACTAAAATGTCGTCAATGTACACCAGTACACCCGGTAGGCCGTCAAACACTTGACTCATGCTTTGCTGAAATACCTCTGGTGCGGAAGAAATGCCGAAAGGCAAATGGAGGAAGCAGTACCTCCCGAATGGTGACGAGAACGTGCAGATCTTGGAAGTTCGTTTCGTCAAGTGGTAAATGGGGATAGCCCGAGTTCGCATTAGGACAGCTGAAGTATGTGGCATTGGTTAGACGTGCTTCCAAATCTTTCCGTCTAGGAAGTGGGAAGTGCTGTCGCCTTATGTACTTATTGACAGCTCTAGGGTCCATGCACACCCTTAGCGAACCGTCTCTCTTCTTTGACAGTACTAAAGGGTTGACCCAGTCGGTTGGTTCAATCACTTTAACAATGATGCCAGCACGTACCATTCTTTCAAGTTCCTTTTTTAGGGGTTCTTGCAGTGCCACCGGAACCCGACGAGCTGGTTGCAAGACTGGCACGGCTCCATTTTTCAGGACCATGCTGTGCGCCTGTTGGAAACAACCAAGCCCTTCACATATATGTCAAAATCTTTTGAGAAGTTCATCCCTTGCCGTCTTATTGACTTGTCCCAGGGCTTCACATGCTTCGAAACCGAGTATAGCCCTGCCGACCATTTTTCCCAACAAAAAACGTGACCATAGCTGTAGCATTCCCAAGTTTTACCTCGTGCGTACACGTTCCAAAACAAGATATGGTACCGCTGTTACATGCCCACAGGAAAGAGTTCGTCGGTTTCAACTCGCCTGCTCCGCGCAGTTTTCGGTAAATTGACATAGAAAACAAGCTTACTTGTGATCCGGTGTCAATTTTGAATTTTATTTCACAGTTGCTAACTTCAGCCTTAACCATCCAATCCCTCTCGCGTCTTGCTGTTGCGATCCCGAGGATGTCAAAGTCCTCATCTTGTCGTTTGGCAACTTCGCTTACTACACCTCGCAAACAGCAACTTGCGAAGCGGTTAGGCTTATGACACAATTGACATTTCCTTCCAAATGCTGGGCATTGTTCGAGTTTATGCCAGCGGTTGCACCGGCGACAGCGATGTTGTTCTTTCGCCTGTTTTCCTTCCTTTGGGGTTGACGGGCGTCTAGAGACCGTGTCCGCACTGTCTTCGCCTTTACGCCACACTTCATTTCGCTGGGCTACCGATTCCGCTGCCCTGCATATTTTTTCCGCTTTTTGCAACGTCAACTGGTTGTCCCGCAGCATTATTTCATGTAGTCTAGGATTGTGCGTGCCAAATACGATTTGGTCCCTTATCATGGAGTCCTGCAATATGCCAAAGTTACACTGGGCTGCTTGCCTTTTCAACTGACGAACAAATCTTTCATATCGTTCCCCTTCCGCTTGCTTTCTTGAACGCAATACATACCTCTCGTGCACTTCATTGCTAACTTCAATGCAATAATCATCAAACTTGCTCACCATGGTGCTGTAGTCCTTTTTGTCCACATCGGCACGAACTGGAAGTTGTTGAAAACGTTCAACACGTCGTCACCGGCAATACTCAGAAGTAGCGCTGCCTTCGATGCTTCCGTTTTCAAATTGCTCCGCTGCCGCCGTTCCCTGCAAAAATATTTAAAACTTCTACTTAAACCCCTTCCAGTTTTTCGTGACGTTACCGGACAGCCGCAATGGCTCTGGAGTCTTCAGGAGATCCATGAAGTAGCAGACACGAGGACGGATTCCTCCGGGGTCAAGTGGCCGCTTCTGACACCATGTATGGCTAGCGCCACGAGCATATGAACAACGCAGACAGTAGCATGGTCGGTGCAAGAAGAACAACAGTGTTTATTGGGGCTTAGCTTGTAAAGACACCGGCGAACGCACGTGAACACACTGCGCATCACTGAAACACATTCGCGCCAATACAATCAGCACATGTGCCCGATACAGACTGAGCCACACAGAAAGCAGGTTAATTTGATACAACCCGAGTGCTTACATTTCTGTCTAATCAAAGTCGTCCAGAGACCGTTCTATATCGATTTTACCAAACGGAATGGTGGCTCTCCCATTCTTTGTTCGTACTTTGCCTAGCAGATGACGAAATTATTTAACAGCATTGCCTCTTCCTGTTGCTACTGTTATGTCAGACTGTCACACATTTAAGCATGAGCTTTGACCAATCCTATGCGGTGCGAGAGAAAGTCCCATCACAAAGTATGTACAAGATCATGCCCCATGGTGTTGTTCCTGTGGAAAGCAACTTGCGTGCTGTGCCCTGTGTGTGTTTTAGGGACCCTATCTGAGACACCTTCAGTGCAACACTAAACAACTTTACCAAAGCACTCACTGATTTACAATTACAAAAGCGCAAAAAACTAGTATAAAATAGTATATAATAATTAATATAATAATGGTATATATATATTGTAGAGAAGCCGCCGAACACTGAAATAGGTCGAACTCTCAAGTGCTTTTTAGTGGGTCTGCCCAAGAAGAACGCCGCTCGCGCGGAGAGTCCGTGCTTGGCTGTTACTGTCGCCATTGTGTAGACTCGCTGTGTGCCGGCTAATAAACGCCATAACAAATTGGCGGAGAGTGCTACGATCCTCTTTGATGCCCTTGGAACTACGCTCACGTACCCTGCAATCTACCATGTCCCACGACGCCTCTCAGCAAACGCCTCCTTCCATGCCACCCCCTTGTCCCGGTGTCCCCAAGATCGGCGATCCACCCATCTTCACGGGCGCCGATGGCACTGACGTGGAGGACTGGCTCGCCATTTACGAGCGCGTGAGCGTCCCCAACAAATGGGACGAGGACGGCAAGTTGACAAACTTGGTGTTCTACCTTGCGGGCGTTGCAAGTTTGTGGTACACCAACCACGCGTCCGAGTTCGCAACCTGGTCCGATTTCAAGAATGCTATCACCAACGTTTTTGGCCGCCCTGCCCTTCGCAAGCTGCAAGCCGAGCAGCGCTTACGCGAACGCGCTCAGCAGGCCGGCGAATCATTCACCAGTTACATTGAAGATGTCCTGGACCTGTGCAAGAAATCCAACGAGAGCATGTCCGAATCAGACAAGATCCGGAACGTCATGAAGGGCATTGACGATGATGCCTTCACGATGCTGCTAGCCAAAAACCCAGGCACAGTAGCTGAGGTCATCACGCTGTGCCAGAGCTATGAGGAGCTCCGCCGGCAGCGTTCGATGACCCGTCGCTCTACACCACGAGAAGCAGGGCTTGCTGGCTTGGAGGCGAGATGTGATCAGGTGGCGCTGCTGGCAGACCTAAAGCCCTTCATTCGTGAGAAAATCGCGCGCCAGGTCTCTCTCCTTCCCTTTGCCCACCCACCGGCTGTTCAACAATCAGCAACTACTATTCTTCCACCCATCCGCCGAGCGATTCAGCAGGAAATAGCGGAGGTCATGCCTGCGTACCACCCACAACAACTTCCGGCCCCTACGCCCCCAAGTTACGTCCAAGTGGTCGCAAGGCCGCCTCCAGTCGTTCAAGCGCCTGCACCACTGACTTATGCCGAAGCTACCGCACGACCTCCGTCCTTTGCAGCGGGTATGCCGGCTGTGTATGTTGGCGCAACCTCTCAGCCTCATTTTCAGCCCACCATGCAGCCTTTCCAGCCACCGTTCCGGGCGAGACCCACCAGGCAAACCGATGGCGCACACCGGACAACCGGCCCATCTGCTTTGCTTGCGGTTACGCCGGTCACGTAGCCCGTTATTGCTCTCGACTACAGCCGGCTCCCATTTCTTCTCCTGTTGCTGGCCACCTTAGCTGTTTGTATAACGACGAACTGCCGTCTGTGCCACTGTCGTCTCGCCCAGGTCCGTCTGCTCGAAGGTCGCCGTCTCCACGACGTCGGTCTCTGTCCCTTATGCGGCCAAGTTCTTCTGCTCATGAGCGGGAAAACTAGTCATCGCAGTCCCAGAGGCAAGGACTGCGACGCTATCGCATTGTGGAAGCCCTCAAAGCCGCCCATCTAATGTCGTTGACGTGCTTGTGGACGGTGTTCATGCATCTGCTCTTATTGACACTGGGGCTGCGGTATCAGTTATGAGCGAAAACCTTTGCCACTTGCTTCGAAAAGTGACGCCGCCGATTTCTGGACTGTCCCTTCGTACCGCTAGCTCACATCGTATTAATCCTACAGTAGGCTGCACAGCTCGCGTTGTCGTTCAGGACGTTCTGTATGTCGCCCAATTCATCATCATTCCTGCATGCTCTCATGACGTTATCCTGGGATGGGATTTTCTCTCCCGCAACGACGCCGTCATTCATTGTGCCGCCGCCGAAATTGAACTCTCGCCCTTCTCGCATTTGACGCCAGAAGACGGTCCCTCGACACTGAGCAAGATTCTTGTGAAAGACGATACTATAGTGCCTCCAAGCTCGACGATGGGTGTATCGGTCTACTGCACCGGTCTCTCCGACACAATTGCACTCGTTTCGCCATCCTACCGTGCTTCCAGAAGGAGAGGGTTGCTAGTACCTTTCGCGATCGTGCAAATCACCCTGGGCAACGCCGCTATTTTCGTGACCAACCCATCCCCGTACACTGTTACCTTGGTTCGAGGGGAATGTCTCGGCAGAGTGGAACCAGTCGACGACGCACAAGTCCTGGACGCACCCGAAGACTCGCGTTGTCCCGTCAGTGCTGTTTGTACTTTTGACCCATCATCTCCTAATGTATTTGGCCCATACATTGATGACGACCTAACGTCAGTACAGCGTTCCCAGCTTCTAGACCTGTTGCAAGAATACCGTTCTTCTTTCGATGTCGGGCGAAGTTCTCTCGGTCGCGCATCCACTGTTATGCATCGTATCGACACTGGTGCCCATCCACCATTACGACAACGTCCATACTGCGTGTCGCCTGCTGAACGCCGGGAAATTAACGAGCAGGTTGACGATATGCTCCGACGCGACGTCATTTGGCCCTCGGACAGTCCATGGGCGTCTCCTGTTGTTCTTGTTGCGAAGAAAGATGGTTCTGTGCGGTTCTGTGTGGACTACAGACGGCTCAATAAGATCACTCGCAAGGATGTCTACCCACTGCCGCGCATCGACGACGCAATTGACAGCCTTCACGGAGCCCAATTTTTTTCTTCTCTCGATCTGCGCTCGGGGTACTGGCAAGTACCCCTGGCTGATGACACTCGACCGAAGACTGACTTCATCACACCCGACGGCTTGTACGAATTCAACGTCATGCCGTTTGGTCTGTGTAATGCACCTGCGACATTTGAGCGCGTGATGGACATCGTTCTGCGCAACTTGAAATGGCACACGTGCTTGTGTTACCTCGATGACGTTGTTGTCTTCGCTCCAGATTTCTCCACCCATCTCCAACGTCTAAAAGAAGTTTTCGCACGTGTGAGCAAGGCCAGCTTGCAACTAAATCTGAAGAAGTGCCGCTTTGCAGCACGCCAACTCACCATCCTAGGGTACGTCGTGTCCAAGGACGGCATTCTTCCTGATCCTGCCAAGCTTCGGGCCGTGGCCGAATTCCCCAAACCTGCGTCCGTGTAAGAACTGCGTAGTTTCGTGGGCCTGTGCTCATACTTCCGACGCTTCATACGAAACTTCGCCACGATTATATCACCACTGACGAAGCTTCTTGGAAGTAACGGGCCCCTCAATTCGTGGTCGTCAGAGTGCGACAACGCGTTCTTGAAGCTCCGCCATTTGTTGACATCTCCTCCCATTCTCCGCCACTACGACTCTACGGCCACAACAGAGGTGAGTGGTGTAGGCTTCGGCGCTGTCCTGGCGCAGCGCAAACCCGGATTCCCTGATTATGTTGTGGCATATGCAAGCTGTACGCTCACGAGAGCCGAGACAAACTACACCGTCACGAAAAAAGAGTGCCTGGCGATCGTCTGGGCTCTTACAAAGTTTCGACCTTATTTGTATGGTCGCCCATTCGATGTCGTCACCGACCATCATGCACTATGCTGGCTGTCATCATTGAAGGATCCCTCAGGCCGCCTCGCCCGTTGGGCTCTTCGCTTACAAGACTACAACATCCGCGTGCTCTACCGCAACGGACGCCAGCATGTTGACGCCGACGCCCTCTCGCGCTCCCCTCTGCCTGAAGCTGACGTGCTCTGCTCAGTATCCTCGGTTGCTGTTTCTGCCATTGATGTTGACATCATCGCTACCGAACAGCGAAAGGATAATTGGATCGCCCAACTGATCGACTTGCTCTCTGATCCGTCCGCAATGCCATCCACGCGTGCCTTGCGTCGTCGAGCTCACCATTTCGCCATTCGTGACGGCCTCCTACACCGGCGCAATTACGACGCCGATGGCCGGCAGTGGCTACTTGTAATACCCCGCAGTCTGCGGTCGGAGATATGTGAATCCTTCCATTCTGATCCACAGTGCGCGCACTCTGGGGTATTCAGAACCTACCAGCACATTAGACAACGTTACTTCTGGCGCGGGATGTACCGCTACGTCCAGCAGTTCGTTCGCTCCTGTCTCGCTTGCCACCGCCGCAAACCGCCCGCACACGTCTCCAGCCGGTCTGCAACCGTTACCTTGCCCTGACCGTCCGTTTGGGCGCATAGGTATCGATTTGTATGGACCACTCCCT